AGGCAGCCGTAATTTTTTGCTTAGGAAAAAGACCTAGAACATGAAAAGCATCTTTTTTTTGCACAAAGTATGGATCATGGTTGCAAATAGCACTCATGATTTTGTCAAACAAACTTCATTGCATTCTAAAACGATGTCTAAAAACATGATCAGGGAATACGTTATTAGGAATAAAATAATCTTCCAATAGATCTTTACCTCGTCTTTCCCTTTTTCTATTGAAGCTTGCGGCACGTCTGAGTTTGGCTATCTGACCACAACTTCCATGACACGGCGGGAATGTGAGGCCCTCTGCCTTCTATGGTCATCATCCTCATCCTTCTCCATTGCAAAAGCCTCATCTCCACCTCCACCTTCCTCGAGATTGACCAATTCTTCCTGTTGTGCCAATAACCTTCTATGTTGCTCCTCAAACTGTTTATATACTCTCCTTGAAGAAGACATTATAAGAACTGAAGATTTGAAAACGATGAAGAAGGATTCTAAGCTAAAAAGAAGGATTAAGTTTGGTGTGAAGATAGATGTAGGGTTTATATGAACAAAAAATGAAGGGATGAGATTCTGGACAATGCCACGTGGCACTTTGGTTGAAAATCTTATCGAAATCTTGACTAAATTATTGTAAACCGGAAGTGACATGTGGCGCGTCGGGATTTGTTGAAAACCTTATTGGAAATCTATCCACAAAATAGTACGTTCGGATAATGACATGTGGCGCGTCGGGATTGGTTAAAAATCTTATTGGAATTTTGGCTAAATTATTGTAAACAGATAGTGACACGTGGTGCTTCGGGATTGGTTGAAAATCTTAGCGGAAATATATTCACAAAATAGTACGTTCGGATAATGACATGTGGTGTGACGAGATTAGTTAAAAATCTTATCCAAAATTAAAATTATTTTAATTATTTATTCTTTTATTCTTTTATAAACAAATTTAAATTATTTTAAATGGGCTAGGTGCCAACACATTTTGTAGGGGTGGAGATCGTTTGTGCTAGCGTATTTTTTTAGGGGTGGAGATGCATTTGGCAAGTTACTGTTCATTGGGGTTTATCATTGTTCACTGAGTGGATTAATGCGCTGGGTGCTAGCACATTTTTTTAGGGGTGGAATTGCTCTAAGGGTCTATTTGGAGAAGAATAGGGGGACCATTTGGAGAAGGCAGCAATTGCTGCTTTGGTGCTCTTCTTGGGCTGCTTCATTTGTGATTTCCTTTTAGCAATCACTCATCGTGGTGCTACGTTCTGTAGCTTTTGGAAGAGAAATTTGTTATGTATTTTGGTCTTTACATAAACCGAGAACCAATCCAAACCAACTCGCAATTGTCAGTTAACCGACTTGATTGGTTTTAGACCCAGCTTGGTTGTTTTCGGTTTGCAATTTTGGCCTAACCGATTAGGTCGGTTTAATTTCGGTTTTGGCTTAAAATCAACCCAAACCAACCCACACCCACCCCTACCAGCACCTCTCTCTCTCTCCTCCATGCCCGGTCAATTTGCCCAGCACCTCTCTCTCTCCTCCATAACCTTTGAACTTCATAATTGGAGGAGCCTAAAAGGAGAAAAAAATATCAAAAATAATCAATCGCCAGTGGGGAAAATCCGGTGGTCGGAGAAGAAGAGGACTTTGCCGAAGTTATGAAGGTGAGGGCGACGTCTGGTGTGGGAGAAGGAGAATGCACATGGTGATGGGGAAGGAATTGCTAAGCTTAGTGGTGGGACCCTTTTCATTATTTTTAATTTTGTTGTTACAAAAAAATTCTTAATTTTTTAATATTTTATTAATTTATCAATCCAGTTGGATGAGTGAGTGGGTTTGCTGCCTACCACGTCAGCAGTTAATAGCTAAACTGACAAAAAACTTAACGGATGTCTGACATTGCAATGAATCCATAAGTTGAGGTATGACATTGCAATGTTTAAAACATGAGGTAGTTTTGTGTAATTTACTCATTTTCATATGAAAATTTAACCACTCTCACAGAATATAGGTAAAAGAAAATTTATATGTCATCATATACGATACTTATATCATATATTGATAAAATACATTAACATGTGATAGAGGTCTATGAAAATAAATAAAAATTAATCTATGTATCATCCATGAAAATAGTTCAAAGAAATTTCATCTTTCACACATTTATAAATCCATACTATATATATCATATACAGTACCTACTAACACATTTAACTTGTGATAGAGGTAAAAGATAAAACTGAGATCCGAATTAGGAGGGGAAAGGGAGAAACAATATTTAGTTTTTATATTTAATCTTAAAATTGAGTAAAAGATAAACATTTATCACCATTAAAATAATAATAACAAAATGTTGATGTGAATAATCAAAGAAGGAACATAACACAATAAAGTAAACTAAACCCAATAATGACTCACAAAATTGAACTTATATCAAGTTTACTCTATTACATATTAATTATCGATTATTTATTAGAACTGTTATTTTCATTCTAAAAATCTCATTTTGCACTCCATATTTTTTATATTTAGAACAAAAAAATACACTTATAGGAAGTGCACAATGAAATTTTTGGAGTGTTACTATTAGCACCCTTATTTTTTTTCACTTAAAGGAGCAGAGTAAATATAAAAGCTTTTAGGGCAACCAATACAAGAGAGGTATATTTGGGTAGCATGTGCAGCACAACCCGGAATAAAAAGCCTAATACGATATCATTTTTTTTTCGGTAACAATACGATATCATTTTTATGACCTAGATTAGCTGACAGTATATATACATTTCTCTGAACTCACTAATCACTTAATTAGCGAAGCTAATAAAACCTTAATAATCTTGACTTAGAGTAATAGTAAGCTGTTCACAGCTGTCATTGTGTAGACATTTCTGTTTGTGATGTGGCTGCAGATTAAACCCTGAGCGCAGGAGGACCGAGAGAGAGCTTGGATTGCAAGTAATGAAATCTGGATTTTGATAAGGCCTTGGTGTGAATATCAGCCACCTGATATAGTGATAGTCGATCTCAATGTATGTTTCTTTCGAGCGTGAAAGGCAGGATTAGAAGCTAAGGATATAGCAGAAATGTTAGCGTTGGGACTTGCTGCCATGGAAAGCCAATATATCCCTAGAGATTTTACATGTCCATTGTGCAGCTGTAAGTACAAGAGACCAATACTCAGCTTCAGTTGAAGATCGAGCAACCGTGGGTTGCTCGATCTTCAACTGAAGAAAATGCAACAGCCTAAGAAAATGCAACAGCCACTAGTATATCGTCTGTCAAAGACACATCCTACCCAATCTGCATCAGCGAAGGCCCATCCTCAGCACAGCAGCCTCCGCCACACAAATTATTATTGCTTAGTAATGTACCCCCCACCGAAGGTCTACCATCATGGTTCTTATAATAAAACCTGCAGAAGCTGCGCATAGAAACTACTTTTTGATATGTGATTTCTGCACAATTATTTTCTTCTCTTACGCACTAATATTAGCGGCTAGTTGGTGGGATTATCTTCATCTATATGGTCACTTGAGTTCCTTATATTTTTTATGTTCGATCGTACATGACACCTACATAAAGGTGCAGGGTTTATTGAATAAAATGTAAGAGAACTGTGAACGTGAATTATTCAGAGGTCAAGTTCCTCCATAAACCCAATATTAAGAAGTCATGGTTCCTACTCCATAAACTCCAAATTCGTATTTTCATTGATATTCTTAAGCACTTCCTCTTGTCCATATCATTTAGTACCATAGCATTGCCTGGCGTTGGATCCTCGTGTGGAAAACTTGAAGATTGAAAGCCAGCTCACTCGCCACTGGGAAGTGACTTGGAGATTAGTTTTGTGATTGTTTGCTTTGCACGCATGTTTTAGACATATACACTGACAAGATTCAAGTGACATTCCTAGATCCAAATGGACATTGATAATCTAAGAAATTAATACACGAAAGTAGTTCAAGTAATATTTTGCGAAAACTAATTTTTGTTCGTTCATGTAAACAACATGCTAGAAAATTAAATATGGCAACGAAAGTAGTTGAAACCATTATCAAATGTCTCTAGATAAAAGGTTAACATATTGTGCTTAGATTGAAATTTTCACGTTTCGAAAAGCCTTTACGCTTGTTGTACGCTGTAAAAACCAATTATTATATGTAACTTTTTAGGATATACAAATGATTTATCAAACTAATCTAATTGAAGTGTAAAATCATTGGTAAAGACTATCTCATTAATTGTTATACATCCGAACAGTGAGTCCATAGATAATGAATAAGGGAAGAAGTGATCTAAAGAAGTTAGATTCAAGAGACATTCTTTTATCCAACTATCATGACATAAACTGTTCTCAACCATATGATTATTAAATGGACATTGATAATTCAGAAAGACTGATATGCACTAAGTTTGCTTAATTGGGAGAATGACCAGTCTCAAGTCATTTATGTGTAGATACTAAGACAAGTGTGTAGGTGCTTAATAGAGAGTGAATTCACTGAACAGATCAATCGAGAGTTCTTGCATGGAATTCTACTTACATATCAAGCAAGAAACCTTAAGAGTTGCAACACAAATGACCATGCTCCACCACGGGCGTGTTCCATGCGTTGTTGAGGCCCTTGACTTGTTCATAGATGTATGTGCGTGTGTGATGAGAAATCTGTAACCTTGAGTAAGTGAAGGTAATAGTCGACAATATGATTCGAGAATCTTAGAGCGAATATTGATCGTGATTTAGGAAGGCATTCTAATTCTCATCTGAATCATATGAATTAAGGAAATCAAAATTATGGTGTCGTAAATTATTTATATCCTAATGATGTGATTAAGAATATTGAATTAGATAATGATCGGATTGCATTGTAATTCGAACTAAATAGGTTCCCGGATTCTAGTAACTAATGACTAATACTATCAGTACAAAATTTTGCCTTGAAAATTGAATCAAAAGTTTCATAGCTAGAATAATTAAAGTACGGTTAATTAATTACAATGCACTCTAAACTCACAAACCAAGCTGCTAATTATTCTTAACTTAACCTTTTTGTTGACACATAAGATAAAGGATGTACATATCAAACACAAATAAAACCATTATATCCTTTACCATTCAATATTCATCCCATTTACATCTGTGATCCATGGCTTTGCTGATCAACCTTCCCAATCCTTGTCAAAGAAGTGATCATAACCGGCGTATGCCCGGTGAATAACGCGACGTGCCCCATCAGCTTATCTTTCCTTGAAAATGTTGTCCCACATGAACACTGCCATCTCAGATCGCCGCAGTGCTTCTCATGGGTGCGTAGATCAGATAACACCGAGAACTGCTTCCTGTTGCACCTCTTGCACACATACATCTTGGGACAATGGCTCCTCTTGTAGTGATTCTTCACACAAATCATCGATTTCAAAGGCTGGAATTTCGCATGCTTTTGGTTCCACCTACACCCTTCTTGCGGACACGAATACTTTCTTGGCAATTTCGTCGAACATGCCATGTTTCCATCTATGCCTCCTGCACTATCATTATTGTTGTTAGTTTTCTTCATGGGGTTGCTTAGAGCAACGATCGTCTTGTACTCATCTCCATGAGCCCTCATGTGCATTCTCAAATTTGCGTCGCGCTTGAACCCTTTGCCACAAACCTGGCAGTAATGGGTGTACTTAGCCAACAAATCCGAAGCATCTAGCTCAATAATGTCGTAGTTCGAAGAAACAGGCAATTCCTTGCCTTGCACATGCTTATCATTGTTGCCAATTTGATTGACAATCCTAGTACTCGTATCTGCCGTGGTACAATCATTGTAGCTGTCGTTAAACCAATCGAGAGTTTGTTCACGAGTAGAATAGAAACCAGATTGATCAATTTTATTACCATGACCGCCACCAAAGTTTGTTTCCGATAAGCGATTATGCTCACGATGATCAGAAGGATTACTAAGACATTGACCAGTAGTAGTGGTGCTAGTATTAGTGTTGTTGATGTTGTTACCTGGAGTAGTAGTGGAAACAAGGGCCATCTGTTGACATGTGAACATCATAGAAGAAGCCGTGACGATGATTTCTTGTATGATATTGCTCATGCTTGCTAGGGCGATGGTGGCTGACTCTTGGGGTTGACTTTGATGATGATTTGGAGAGATGAGGATGCTGACTAGTGATTTGGCTTGATGAACCTTTTCTTTTAGGACTGAGAAGTTGCAGAGGAGAGAGGTTGAGTGATTGTCAGGAACCGATGATGACGAGGAGTTTGGTTCGAGTGAAAATGAAGAAACCTGATGAGGATCTTCATAGATTTGTAACCCTAGATGGTGTTGTTGCTGTTGTAACATAGTTTGGAAACAATTAGATGGAGCCCCAGACATCATTCTTTTGGTTTTTCTTCTTCTCCAATCTGCCTTCCTGTGAGACTGAAATGTTGTCTACTTATTTTGGTTTTCAGATCTTTCTCTGGGAAAGGTTGAAACTGCTTGTAGTGCATATATAGAGATTAATTGTATAGGGTTCATATGATCAAGGAAGAAAGAACCCACGCTTTTCAGTAGTATAATATTACTTATGCTAGCTAAGTCATGAGAGAGGGAGAGAGAGAGAAGTCAACTTGGAGTTATTAGGTCTCAACCGAATCAACTGATCATCCCCAGTGGCGACCTTCCTCATATCAGGCTAACCTCAAATTAGGACAGACCTTGTGCAGAGAGATTTGGAGAGTTAGAAAAGTATATAAAATTATAAATTAATCATGTTTTGGTTCCATAAGTTAATTAATATATCTTTTTACTTACATGAATTGCCTACTAAGAGCATGGTGCAGGTAATTGATCGGCAAACCCATTTTGATCAGCCACTTAAGCAAAAATTAACTCTAACGGTATAGGCAATTGAGTTTGCAAATTTTGTCTACCATTTCAAAGTAGACAATGTTGCCTACAATATCATGAGTAGGCAAATTGGATCCCACATATCTTTTTATTGTGAAGTATTGTATGTGGAGGAAAATGACAAAACTAAAAGCTAGCTAAAAGTAGATGTTATAAATGAAAGAAAATAATAAAATACAATTTTGCCTACTTGGTTTGCTAATCCATTGAAGTGAAAAACATTTTCCATAAGGCAATCGAGCAAAACAACATGCCACGTCAGCCTTTATAGTATAATTTTATCTACTTTAATTACCTATACCATAGAAGATGCTCTAAGCCTATATGCCAACTACTAGCTAGGTTATTTCTTGCATGTTGAATGGGTGCAGAGATTTAATTTTTGTAAGGGCTTGTGGTTTAGCAATTTATCCTATTTTTAAAGGATAATTTATGTATGATTAACTAAAATATAGATGGTTTGGACAAATCCAAAATCATCCAATTGCAGTGAAGAAAATAAACGAATATGATATTCCAATGAAATACTAAAATAACCATCTCATTTAATCCATCGCTTTTATAGCTTTAAATTTGAGGGATTTTTTGTAGCATCAAAAGACCTAAAAGATAGATGATATATCAATGTGGTGTAGTCAAAGATGTCTCTTTCTACAAAAAATTTACGAAACCCTTCAAGTTACTTATATAACGACTCTTGACCATCTCTTTGCCAGCTTATAGAACTTCTAGTGAAACTGATTTGTTCTTCAATTTCGCTCGTTTTGTCGCATCCTTTTTGACCATTTCGTATAGTGATGCATATAGGACTTTTTTGTTGGATAATTAATTAAATATCAGAGAAGCTGAAATATATGTGGATGCATTTGAGCCGTTGGTAAGTTCCATTTTATAGTCATTGCGATGGTCAAAATCATTAGCTAGCGATTGTCATGCCTCACGTACGTATGCATGCCTGGATGACTGACTAAACACGTAAGTTTAATTAGTATGATCGTCATCTAGGATCAAACACTTGGGTTACATGTTGAAGAAGTATCTAGCACTTCAGTGGGATAATCTATAGCAGCAGCACATTCCTTCTCTCTCTTTCTCTCTGTTTTTGTTTCCCTGCGTCTTGAGTGTTCACGAACTTGGGGTGGTTTCCCAGCACACTTCATATTCCAAGTGATTAACAAAAAATCGTTATTGCAAGTGATACATTGTCTTGGTGATTAGCGTTTATCATTAATTTACTGCGTTTCGTGTTTAAACTCTCAACGTCCTCCCTTAATGTAGTTTATAATCAATTGTAGGCAAGCAATAAAAACAAAAGAGTAATGTTAGGGATACTAAATTTTGGAAACTAAATGACATGTAAGTTGATGGTTAATTTATTAATTAAGCGTTGATAGACATGCTCATCTTTATTTGTGACACATCATTTAGTTTGTAAATTTAGTCTTCCTAAACATTACTTATTTATACCATGTTTTTGTACCACATTTTTATACCATTTTAGGTGGCATTTGATGTGGACAGGACAACCACATCAATTGAATTAATCAGATTTTTTTAATTTAGTTCATTATTTAATAAACTAATAATTAACAAAAACTAGTTAATTAAATGATGATTATGGTATACGAGGAGTCTTCCTCCTTCCTTTCTTTGGGTATTGCGAGAGATTTTTCAATGTGACCATTACACAAGATGGTACACCACGTATTCCTATATAAATGGTGTGTGTTAAAAGGTTAATAACTTAAAAATTAAAATTTTCCACCACTTACATAAAAATACGTGGTGTACCATCCGTATTCCCGTTACAACTAAAAATTTCTCGTGTTTTGCAAATTTTTCAAATGATGTGACTGTCCACATCAGATGCACCTAAAATAGTACAAAAATATGGTATAAAAATATGGTATGAATAACATTACTCTTACTCAAAACAAAAAGATTGTTACCCTGTGTATACTTCTTCTAGCAGCACACTTAATAATTTGGTAACGAAGCGTACGCTATCTTATATTTTAACAACTCCGAAACTGCGCCGGCGCGTGCATCAGAATCTAGGTGCTTAATTTGTATAATATTATATAATATTGTAGGTTTCATAACCAAACGGTCCAACAGGCAGTACATTGGCAGCTAGGGTGTCTATTATAAGTTTCTGGTTGTTTTTAATGCTACTCGAAGAATGCGTTTTTCATCCTTATCTAATGGGCTATTAGTATGGGTCTCTTTTACTACAGAAAGTTGGGGATAAATGTTTCCGTGTCATAAAGTATTCAGGTGATAGCCTCTATCGTAAAAAAATTCGGATTTAAACTCATGTAGTTCAAGTCTGTTATGATTTATACTTAAAATTGAAACTTCTATAGTTCATTCGTTAGTATCATGCACATGAGTGTCACATGTGAGGATAAGATGATCATTTCATCCCCCGTTTCATCCCTTCAGACTTCCATAGTCACTCTCCAGTCGTCCCCTTCCCCTCTCTCTTGCTTTTCCGACATATTATGGACCTCAGCAGCTCTGCTCCTCTTCGATGAACTCCGCGGCGGCGCTGAGTTCAGTTGCGCATCGGCTGCCTCCTCGAGACCCTTCTAATTCCAGCAAAACCCCCCCAAAGATTTCAAATTTCCACGCAATTATTGTTGAACAAACTGATACAAACAGAATTAACACAACAAAAATTTTATTGTTTGATTTTCCCTGAACAGGTTGCTGTGGCACATACAATTGGGCATGTAGCAGCTACTGTTAGTATGTCTAAGGTTGCAGTTTCCTTCACCCATATCATCAAGAGTGGAGAGCCAGCTTTCAGTGTATTGGTTTCGAGGTTCTTGCTGGGCGAGTCCTTCCCTATATCAGTCTACCTGTCCCTCCTTCCAATCATCGGTGGTTGCGGTCTTGCTGCCTTGACAGAGCTTAACTTTAACATGATAGGTAACCATTTTGTTCTTGTCCCAGAGGGAATGGAATTGTAAAATTATTGGTTTGTTGATCTTATTATCTCCTGAGTTGGTATTTGCAATCTTTGTCGGTCTCCGTTGGAAAAGAAAGCAAATATATAGTAAAATTAAAATCTTTATTGTTGGGGAGTTTTGTGCAATAAGGCTAAGTTGGGCTCTAATGCTGCCTCAGTCAAGATTAAAGCATGTAAGATACATACTTTGCCTTCGTATTCTTCTGCAACCAAATTAATTTTCCATTCTTCATGCTGTATGTTTCAATTACTCTATCTGACCAAAAGAAAAATGCTTCAGTTTATTTTCTTCTATCTGGAGTTGGTTGTCATAGCCAGCTTCTTTCTCCTTCCAGTGTTTTCCTTTTCGTTTTGTTAAACTGATTTATTCAAATTTTCCACCTAATTTTCTCAGCAACCAAACAGAATTCAAAAACGTGAAAAATGGGAAGTACCAAACGAGGCAAAGAAACAAGGGATAACAATTTCTTGAGTTTGTGGTTGACAACACTTCACAGACACACGTACACACATATGTAGGATGGTGTTATCTGCACCATTTGTATATTTCACACATTCTCTTAATTTTCAACCATTAAATTTAGGGAGCTTTAATGAAAAGGGCTTGGACTAACTTTTATTTAATGAAAAACCACCCTAAACTATTATTTAATAAAAAGGGCTTGAATTTTAATCATAAGGACACAAAACTTTTATGTCAGGTCCTACAAAAACTAAAACACACGAGCTCACCAAAAAGCCCAAACCGCATAACAATTAATATTCCAAAAGTGCCCCTAACGGAGCCTAACCCAGGCCCGTTAGCCAAAGTTGCAGTTACTAAAATTCATCATCCCTCCCAACGCGATTTGGACATCAGACCGACATGGTGAAGAACCACGAGTTTTCACCAATGGCTGATATTCGATTCCCATTACTGCTACTCACTTTCACTCCCTTCCATTCCCAAGCCACCAAACCTCAACAAAATCCAACTCCTACCCACAAATCTTCACGCCCCAAACCTGTTTTCTCGCTACATTTCTACAATTTGGAGCCCGGGAATCCGAGCTTCCAACTCGTCGTCCTCCACCCAGTTCAAGACGAAGCTCGAAAGCCCAGCGAGGAACCATGAGCATCGAAGATACTCGCTGCTTGGTTAACCTCAACGTGGGCAATTGGCAAAGTTCCTTCTTTGTAAGTATCTAGTTTGCTCTCCAAAATTTGGCATGTGTTTGGTTGCTGAGAAAATGAAGGAAAAAATGTGAATTTTAAATGGTCTTTTGTTTTATGTTTTGTTTGTCAAGGCTGCAAAAGTTTCAAAATTTCTAAGCAAAATGCATGTAATTTTTGTTGCGTTGGTTAGTCCTTGGTTTCCGGGATTAGTTAGTGAAATGTTGAATTGTTGTTCCGGCATTTTCTGGGCAGCCAAACAGATAAATTATGTTCATTTAATAGGAATCAAATGACCCCCATGATTTATTAGTTATGATTATTTATTGGTTTGAGTGGTTTTTTAGCAATTTGATACTGTTGGGAATCGCAGATAATCTTTGGGCACCGACGGTGGGGAAGAACTGGAGGAGGTGTGCGAGTTTGAGGGTGAGCGAGCCTGGATTGGCCTCATTGCAGTGGCTGAGGAAGGGGAAGGTGGTGATGGTGGGCGGGGGGAAAGGAAGAATGTGGGGACGGGGTGAAAGCAGGAAAGGGATGAACAACAAATTCATATGATTTTTTAAAGATATTTCGTAAAGTACTACATAGTTCTAATTATTTAAACTTTCATCTCATTTTATCATTATTTCTTAAATTGAACACGGGTACTATAACTATTTCTTAAATTGAACACTACTAACTATCACTATTTCTTAAATTAAACACTAATTATTTCTTAAACTGAACACTTATACTATTATTATTTATTAAACTGAACACTGACTGACTATCTTAAAAACGAACGAACGCTGATACTATTTACTATTTCTTAAACTGAACATTGATACTATCACTATTTTCTTAAATTGGACACTGACTATTTATTAAACTGAACACGAATACTATCACTATTTCTTAAACTGAACACCGATGCTATCACTATTTCTTAAACTGAATATTGACTATTTCTTAAACTAAATGCTGATTATTTCTTAAACTGAACACTGATACTATCACTATTTCTTAAATTGAACACTGACTATTTATTAAACTGAACACGAATACTATCACTATTTCTTAAACTGAACACCGATGCTATCACTATTTCTTAAACTAAACATTAACTATTTCTTAAACTGAATACTGACTATTTCTTAAACTGAACACCCCTTGATAATTTTTGTACTTATATATATATATATATATCGCGTTGTCACTTAACGATTTATGTAACAGAATATCTAATGGATGTATGATAGTGCAATTAAATTCACAACTTTGTGGACGACATTGCAATGTTTTAAATATGATGTCAAATTGTTACTAGTAGGATGTCTAGATGCTTATGTTGTCAAATTGTCAAATGGTACCATTATTGATCGTATAAATTTTTATCAGAGTATGTCATTCTAATCCTCCTTAAAATAAGCAGACACTATTTATGAAACCAAATCAAGAATGAAATACTATTTCTAAAACTAAACCAATAGGTGGAAACTATTTATGAAACTAGACCAAGAAAGAAACACTATTTATGAAACTAGACAAAAAAGAGACTATTTATAAAATTGTACCACTTGCTATACACTATTTATAAAATTGGACCATGAATTAGGCATTGTTTATGACACTGGACCAAGAACAAGGCCACTATTTATGAAAGTAGATCAAGAACTAGGCACTATTTACGAAACAGTGATAGTACTAGTGTTCGTTTGATAAATAGTCAATATTTAGTTTACAAAACAGTGATAGTACTAGTGTTCCGTTTAAGAAATAGTCAGTGTTTAGTACAGTGATAGTACTAGTGTTTCGTTTAAGAAATATGCAGTGTTTAGTTTACGAAACAGTGATAGTACTAGTGTTCAGTTATTGTTTAGTTTAAGAATTAGTGATATTACTAGTGTTCAGTTTGAGAAATAGTCAGTGTTTAGTTTACGAAACAGTGATAGTACTAGTGTTCGTTAGTGTTCGTTAATAAGTCAATGTTTACTTAGTAGTGATAAGAAACAATTAGTACTAGTGTTAAAAGTTACAGTAGTTTAGTGTTAGTTTAAGAAATAGTCAGTGTTTTAGTTTAACGAAACAGTTGACAGTAATAGTGTTTAGTTTTAAGTAATTTGCTGTAGTTTCAGAAATAATGTGAAAAATTTTTGTTGCAGTTTTCATAAATAGTGTGGTAATTAGTGATGAAGTTTCAAGAAACCAAACTTCATTTTGATAATGGCTAAAAAAGCCCAAATAACACTAAAAACCATTAATTTTTTCAAATTTTTTAGGAAAAAAAGTCAGATATCCAAATTTAGTAACACCACACATTCTAATCTCAGAAAACCCAGTTCATGTTCATCAATGGAAACAAAACTTAAAGTACATGAGGCTTTCTGAGTTCAACATCAACACACTCCTTGCAACCCTGAAGGCGTTCATCGTCGATAACCGGTCTAGTGTGCAGAGCCACCTTCACACAACAATTCTCTGATGCCTTCATTGAATTGCAATCAGTCACAAAAATAAAAATAAAAAATAGAAGCAATTTGAAGGGAAAAAAAAAAAGGTTATGCAAATGAAAGCAACTATCCTGATTTGCTGCAATATGTTGGCCATAAACATTGTCTTGTACTAGGAGGACGATTTGTTTCTAAGAAAGAGAACAGTAACTTCATTAGCTGCAATCACAAAATAAGCATATGTCAAAACTAGACAAGATTTTATACATCAAATTCCTTATTCAATATTAAAATTTGATCAGGAATACCTCCTCTTCATTCACCAGTCTTTAATATAACATCTATTCACAAGTGAAAACCTCATAAGCAATGAAGGGGAACCTAAAGATCATGAGGAAAAAAACATTTACTCAAATAATCAAAAGCAAAATATAAAAATCTCGAACATTTTGGAGAGAAACATGAGTAATAAAAATTCTCAAAAGTAATGCTTTGTCGAGATGAAATAATACTTGAAGGGTTGTTTGCTTTTAGCATCCTCAGGAGGTTCTCCAACAATATAACCCAATAATTGCTCCACACGGGGATCAATTATTCATCCACAATCAAGCTCCCTATTATACCAGATTTCATCAACGTATAATTCCTCCAAAATTCCCAAAAACTGTAAGGAAGGACAACAAATCCTGGTATGAATTTAATATATATACGAGAGAAGGCAGTGCATAAAAACTAGATGCAGCTTACTGTTCGATAACTCCATAATTTGGAGTAAAAGCTTGAAGTTGCTGATGAGATTCCCGCAAGAACCTTCGATCTCGATGATCTTGGCGTGGACTTTGATCTTGACACCGTCGGGGATGTCCGTCATCTCAGAGGAGAGGATGGTCTTCATCTCCGCTGCTCTGGTTGTTTCTCTCTCTCGCTATGTGGCTCCGGTTGGTGAGTGAGTGCGATTTGGGAGAGGCCAGGGAAAAAGAGTTGGAATTAACAATATGGGAGGAGTCGAAGGATTTGAGGGTTTTTTTTTTTTGGTCAGAAGAGAGGATTTGAGGTTATGTAGGCAGAGAATAGCACGAAGACTCAGAAAGAAAGGAAAAATAGGTTAAACGGACATAGCCTTACTGTCAGGGGCAAAATCGAAAATTCATTATGTGGGCCAGGTTGATTGGCCTGATTAAATGTTGGACTTTGTCCTAACCATTAAATAAACTTCCTACCTGGTTTTTTATTAAAATATAAAGTTTTTGAGCCCTTATCATTAGTTTTCCTTTAAATTTAATGAATTAAAGAATATCAAATAATTGAAATTAATAAAGATGTGTGGTAGGTAAAATAAATGTGTAGATAACAGGTCCTTATTTATAATAAACAGAAAATTGGGTCTAGGGATGAGGACTTAGATTAATTAACTAGAACCAGGATTCTCTCCTGAGCATTCCCTAGGGATCCCGCAATCTTGTCCGTTCATTTTATATCATGCGGTCAGTTTTCGTTAGGTACTATTCATATTTGAATTTTAAAATTTAAATTTTAAATGATTTCTAACCGCACGATACACAATGAACGGACAAGATTGCGGGATCCCTAAGATCCATAGGAAAATGCTCATGAGAGAATCCTGGTTCAATTAACTAATTCAATTACTAGGTTTTCTCTTCCTTCATAGGTAGGCCCACAAGCATATCAAAGAAGAAGTAAACGCTTTATAAACGGGGAGCATTTTTTCTCGTCACTCTCAAATGACAGTAATGCTCATTAGCATACTTATTATTATTAAATAGATTTCTGTGTATCTAATATATAGATCTCAAAACTTAAACTCATCTAACAGTAATAAATAAGGTGGTAAACATCACCATTACTTGAAGCTAGTAGCAAAAAATTCCCTTATAAATAAATGATAATTATATTACCAAGCTATAGTATAATATACAACAAAACAACAATAGCTAATAATTGTTGGAATTTTGTAAAGGATTTTTTTAATTTGTGAGTTGTTGGATTTGGAACATCATGCACATCGACAGCTTGGTAGTTTGGATAATTTTTTCAAGCTTATAGGTCATAACTAAATAATTAATCAGTATTCTTTTGAAAATTAAGAAAGGGAGGGTCGTTAATTTATTTGTTCCTTCATTCCTACGTCATCAATCTCAAGGCGATGTCTAAATGGCAGTAAATGAATTCTCATTGGCAACTCTGGTGCACGCACAATGCCATGTCCAGCAACGGAAGATAATAGCGAACAAGGGAAATATACAGATAGATCTCTTTTGCTGCATATATAGGTAAGTAAATTAACTCTGAACCCAAAAAAATAAGTGAATTGGTTTAAAAAGGACAGGAAACTAACTTAGTGAATTAGTTGATGATGAACTAAAACCCTAAAATGAAATGAGGCAACACAGTTCTATACGATTTAGTAAAATTCAAAAGGAAGCAAAAAATATAACAACTGTGTTGGAGTTTTTTGAGCTCCTTTAGTCCCACCTTTATTAGTGATCGGGTGTTGGACCATTGGAATGAGGATTGAGATTTGGGCCATTAATTATGTGGATTAGGCTTGATGATTATACCATAATATTAATATTAATTAATAAAAACAAGGGCCTTGGGATTAATTATATTTTAATTTTGAATTAAGTTTTTAATTAAAATTAATTAAAAACGTTTTGATTAATAGACACAACTCTTTGGAAAGGGAAGAGTTGTGTAGCTTCAGATACATCCAAAAGATATTTGAAGAGGTATGAAAGAGCCTATATAATTGGAGTCTCAGTTCCATTGTAGATGATCTTTTCTTCCTCTTTCTCTTCCATACAAACTTTCCAGAGAGTAAACACACAAAGCAAATCGCTAGAATTCTATAATCTAGTGCGGGTTGTAGAATTAGGTAGTTGTCTCCTTGTTGAGCAGACGTTATAGAACCACAAGCACAAGAGTGGGACGGAAATACTGTTCGAATGACATAGCTTTTACACTAGCCTCCACCTGTTGTAATCAAGTTAGTACCATTTTAATTCATGTACTTATTTCTGTATTTCATTTGTATAGCAAGTATTTTTGGTTAATAAAGTATTAGAATTTCGAATTCTGTTATTTTTGTTATTTTTATTATTTCTGAATTGTTCTCTAGCA